ATAGATCACCTGTTTACATAAAATTGGAATTATTAATTTAATATCAAAAACTTCTCAAAAAAATCTTCAAAACTCAAGGATTAAAATGTGCTTAGTAACTATTATTCTAAAATCAATCATTCAGGCTGTATAATTTTCAAAAGACAAAAAAAAAGGTGTTGTAATACTTTTATAAATCACTGTATATATACAAATTTATGTAAATATATTTGAATATATTTAGATATATTCATAAATATATTTAAATAAATATAAATATATCATCAGAAATTTTATAAAGGTATTCTAGTATGCTATAAGTGTAAAATATTTAAATAATATATTAAAATATTATATTCTAATATATTATAAGTACAAAATAATTAAATAATATACTAGAATATTATATTCTAGTATTATCAAAAATTATATAGAAATATTCTAGTATACTATAAGTATAAAATATTTAAATAATATATTAAAACATTGTGTTTTAATATATTATAAATATGAAACATTCAAATAATATATTAAATATTATATTCTAGTATACATAAATATAAAATGTTTAAATAATATATTAGAATGTTATATTATAAATATAAAATATTTAAATAATACACTAGAATATTGTGTTCTAGTATGTTAGTACTATTTAAATAACACTATAGAATAGTATTCATATAGTATTGTAGAATAATTCCTGATGATACTATAAGTATAAAACATTCAAATAATGTATTAAATACTGGATTTTAATATGTTATAAGTACAAAATATTCAAATAATATACTGGAACATTGTGTTTTAGTATATTAATACCATTTTAAAAATATTATATAAACAGTATTCATATAGTATTGTAAAATATTTTTATTTAATTCTTGATAACATGAATAAATTCAAATATTTTAATGTGAATAAATATATAAGTAATCAAATATATTTGTAAATTCAAATATATCTAGATATATTCATTTTTAAAAATTTCTTGATAAAAGAAATAAATAAATTTTTACAAGGTAGTAAAGTAGTTTAATAAGTTTGAGATTAAATAACAAATTATACATGTTCCCAAAATTAATTTTGAATTTTTGAGGTATTTCAACTTTTTAAGATTTATACAGAATCTATTCTATATATGAAAATAAAAAAAGTACCCAGTTATATATATATTCAATCAAAGAATAAATCTGGATGGTCAAAAAATTTCAGGTTTTAAGTAAAATAATTTTGTCTTCTATGAAAAATTATTTTAACTTTTTTCTTTGAAATTGTAATTTCAGAATTTTAAAATAATTTTGTGTACAAATATATAAAGGATAAAATATTTATTTAATAAAAAAAATTTTACATAATAAAGTATCATAAAAAAATATAAAATTTTAAATTAAATCTTTTTATTTAGAAATTAAAATATAATTAATATAATAAAGTATTAAGATATTTAAAATTTTACACTTTTTTCAAAATATTTATTTTTACTTTAATTAATTACAATTAAAGCTCCTCATAGGTCGAGCCGAGTCGAGCCTCATAAAACTCAGGCCGAGCTGAGCCCAAAAGTCTTAGGCTCAGCTCGGCTCGAGCTTTATAGTAGGCTCGCGAGCTTCATAGTAGGCTCATAAGCAATGGATAATTTTTTTTTTAAAAAAAAATTATGTGGGCTTTTATTTAAAACCACAAAATTTTTAAGGCTCAAGCCTTGTAAGCTAGGCCTTAGTTGGGCTTGGCTCGCGAGCCTATGAGCCTATAATATCAGGCTCGGCTCGACTTGAATTGGCTCAGCTCACTAGGTTCGCGAGCCTTAAAGCCTATGCGGAGCTTTAATTACAATATATAGATTTTTAATTATAATTGAATAAAATATTATTCTGAAAATTAATTTATATAACTATAATATTATAATTCTACTATAATATCATAATTCTACTATAATGTTATAATTTTATTATAATATTTTTTTTAACTTCAACTGTAATTTATATAACAGGAAACAATTTTCTATTAAGGTATTTCTATTATAAATTGAAAGTCTTAGTTTTTTGATTATAAGATAATATATTTTTTATTCTTATAATATTAATATTTGTGAAGATATTTATATTTAAAGTCAAACAATTGTAAAATTTTTATTATAAATTTTTAAATATATAAATTATATAATTTATATATAAAATTATATAAAAAAATTCTGTTTTTTGACTTTGACTATAATTTATGTAACAAAAAATAATTTTTTACTAAGATATTTTTATAATAACACTAGTAAAATTATAAATAGTATACTTATTAGGTATTTAATAGATATATTATTTATAAATTTTGATTAGTATAAATTGAAAGTTCTAGTTTTTAACTACAATATATTATATATTTTATTTATATTATACATATTCATAGAATTAATTTTTGATTTTTGAGATATTTTATTTTTTTAAGATTTTTGAGATATTTATTCTATATATGAAAATAAAAAAATATTCAATTTAATATATTTTCAATTAAAAAATTTATTTAAATAATCAAAAATTTGAATTTTAAGTAAAATTAAATCATTTTTTATAAAAAATTATTTTGACTTTTAGATCTTAAAATATTTTGATTTATTATATAAAGAAATTTTTAAAGATAAATACATTCAAATATATTTAAATATATTTGACTATTCATATATTTATTTACATAAATCATATTAATCTATATTAATTTATATTTATCTACATTAATTTATATATTATATTAAATATATTTACATATATTTGCAGATATTCAGTTTTATTAATTACAAATATATTTGCAAGTGAAAATTTCTTAATATATGATAACCTATTATATGCAAGTATAATTTAAATAGTGTTGAAATTTACAAAAATATTTGTAAAGATATTAGTATTTAAATTCAAATGTTTGTAAAATTTTTTTTTATAATTCTAATTAGAATTATGAAAAATTATAAAAAATTTATAATTCTTAAAGGATAATATCTTACTGGTCTAGTGTGGTTCACTCCTAAGGTAGATAGTTAAGTAGTAGGGTCTGCAGTACTTGCTAAATTACCAGTAGAAACCATGCAAATCAAATAAGAGTTAATTCAAAAAAAAATAAAAAATAAAAAATAAAAAATTTATAACAGAAAATTTTTATAGATGTTTGATTTAAATATAAATATCTCTACAAATATTAATACTGTTGAAATAAAACATATATCATTTTGTAATTAAAAACAAGTCTTTTCTTTCTATTTTAAAATATTTTAATAAAAAATATTTTTACACTTTTATAAATTATAAGTAGAGTTAAAAAATATAAAAAATCCATTGTTACTATTGTTTATTAAAATTTTCTGATAATAATTATAATTATAATAATTATAATATACAAAATTATTAATTGGTATTACATATAAACTTTTTATATTTATAAGTAAATGTCAAAAATAACATTAAGTAATCTCAAAAAACAAATATTAATTACACTTTTTATAAAAATTGTAAATATGTTTCATCAAAATTAAGTGAACAATTGTTATTTTAAAATTTTTTATCTATTTAAAATTTACTTACTTGTAATTCTATTAATTTTAATAAAATAAACTGTTCTTTTAATATAATATGTAATATATTCTTGTCTTTAAGATTATTTAGTACCATTTTTAATATTTACTTATAAAATAAAAAATTATATATATAACAACTATCAATAATTATTTTTGATTTTATATTACAACAGAATTATAACATTATAGCATTATGGCATTACTGCACAATTATAGTATTACAATATAATTATGGTATTACAATATAATTATGGTATTATAATACAATTACAGCATTGTGAAATTATTACAATTATTTATTAAAATAGATAGTTGTAACTCTTGTCTTAATATACCAATTCCATTAGATATTATTGTTATTATTTATTATTGTTACTTATTACCATTGTTCATTACCTTTGTTAATTAAAATAATTTTTTTAAGTTTTAATTTTGAAACAAATAAAAATTCTAAATTGGTAAATGATATAAAATATAATAAAGTTATAACAATTTAATTATAAAAATTTATAATCACAAGTAATATACTTTTTATATAATATGATTATATATAAGTTTTTTTTTATATTATTACATATGTTTATAATTACCATCAAAATTTGATCTCAAGGTAATGATTATATATAGATCTACTGTATTCTTAAAATAGATTTTGATCTAGACTTTATCTTAGATACCCTATATAAATAAATTTTTTTAAAACAGTTAACATGTAATAAATACAATTGTAATTTAGATTGAAAGTAGAGTTTCAAATGAGTTGTCATTAACTTGCATATGACTTATATAATATAAAATAATATTATAAAAACATAATAAATTGTAATCCATATATGAGATTATGATTTGTTTGATTTGAAGGTCAATTTACTAGAAACACTAATTAAGAATATAGATCTTTGAATCTAAAATAAATTTATCTTTAATTTTTAGTATAAATTCTGGAGATTTGGAATTTTTTAAAACCATATTTGTTATTTCTTATCTGTCACTAATAAATCACATTTGTCAAAATGTAGGTGTGTTAAAAACAAAAACCTTTTAATTTTTTTAATTATAAATCAATAGTTCTAAACTTGATTAAAAATTGTAAATTTTTCTGTATTTTCTTTTTAATTTAGTTCATTTGATCTTAATCTGAATTATTACATGGGGAAATTTAATCACAAGTACCATTTTTATGTGCAGTACAATTTTAGAAACGGTTTTTGCCAATAATTTTCCATATAAATATAATAATATTTACATGCTGAATAACTGCTTATACGTTTTTATATATTTAATTTTTCTTATATAAAAGCGCGTTTCTGGATTTGATCAACCATACAGTCACACCAATCACATTCGTACAATACAGTTCACCTGATCGTACACAGTTTATATGTATACTCCTCATCAGAATGTATATATGAACTGCTTATCAAAAAAAACTGTATCATAGTACTAAAAAAAAATAAAACATATGCCAATGGCTAACAATCTTGCGAATCAACAGCCACACGCTCATCTTAAGTGAGTAAATTTTGTAATTTGTTTATTCGAAAGCATTTAAAAAACATTTGATTTAACATATTTATATTTGTGCTTTTAATTTTTACAAATTTGAATTTCTTTTTTTTTTCAAATTTTTTTATTAGCCACGAAAATGATAGTTGGAAAAAAAGCTTACGGTTACCTCCAAAAGACAATAGACCACAGACGGAGGTAAATTCAAAGTTATCAAAATTATCAATATCATCTGCAAATTATATGAATTTTAACTTACATATATTTAAATGTATCTAAATTCATTTAAATGATGTTTATAAATTTAAATTTAAATTTAAATTATTATAAAGGATGTAACTGCCACAAAGGGAAACGAATTTGAAGATTATTTTCTGAAACGAGAGCTACTTATGGGAATATTTGAGGCCGGATTTGAGCGTCCATCGCCTATTCAAGAAGAATCTATACCTATCGCTCTAACTGGTCGTGATATTCTTGCAAGAGCAAAAAATGGCACAGGTAAAACAGCGGCCTTCGTAATTCCCGCCCTAGAAAAAATAAATGTGAAAAAACAAAAAATTCAAGCATTACTGCTTGTTCCTACAAGAGAGCTGGCCTTACAAACATCACAGGTTTGTAAGATGCTTGGAAAACATATGGGAGTTCAAGTTATGGTTACAACTGGCGGTACAACGTTAAAGGATGACATTTTACGTTTGTCTGAAATCGTACATATTGTTGTTGGAACTCCTGGTCGTATTTTAGACTTGGCGGGAAAAGGTGTTGCCGATTTTAGTGACTGCCCTACATTCGTAATGGATGAAGCTGATAAATTGTTAAGTCCAGAATTTTCTCCTATCGTCGAACAGCTTTTGACATATTTTCCAAAAGATCGTCAAATAATGTTATATAGCGCTACATTTCCTTTGATTGTAAAGAGTTTTAAAGTAAGTTATTATTAATTTTTTATATTATTTTATATGTTTTAGTTATCAAATCCTGAGTTCTTTATATAAATAATTTCTTAGGATAAATATCTCGTAAAACCATATGAAATTAATCTAATGGATGAACTTACACTTCGTGGTGTCACTCAATATTATGCATTCGTTGAAGAACGGCAGAAAGTGCATTGTCTAAATACATTATTTTCGAAGGTAAATATAATTTGGATGTTTTTCTTAATATATTTTCTTATATTTTTAATTTTTTTTGTTTACCCCTTTTTTTTTTTGATGATACTTACAGCTTCAAATCAATCAATCAATCATTTTTTGCAACTCCACTAATCGGGTTGAACTTCTTGCCAAGAAAATAACCGAACTCGGATATTCTTGTTTTTATAGTCACGCAAAAATGTTACAAAGCCACCGTAATCGTGTTTTCCACGATTTCAGAAACGGAGTTTGCCGAAATTTGGTGTGTTCAGGTTAGTAATTAAATTAAATTATAGAAAATTATTGAATTCGGTTATAGTTTAATTAATTTAATTTAATACTATTGTTATTTATTATTGTTATTATTATTATTATTATTTTTTAGATTTGCTTACTCGCGGTATTGATATTCAAGCGGTCAATGTTGTAATTAATTTCGATTTTCCAAAGAATGCAGAAACTTATCTTCATCGTATTGGCAGATCAGGTCGATTTGGTCACCTTGGTCTTGCCATTAATCTTATTACCTATGAGGATCGCTTTAATCTTTACAAGATAGAACAAGAACTTGGGACTGAAATTCAACCAATTCCACCTGTTATTGATAAGCGACTATATGTCGCACCAACTGCACTTGATGATGCCCAACAACAACAACAACAACAACAACAACAACAACAACAACAACAGCAACAACAGCAACAACAGCAACAGCAACAACAACAAAATAATCCAAATATTCGTAATCCAAATTCTCGTAATAATGGAAGTAATAATTTGAGAAATTCCAATACAGGACGGTCAGGAATGAGTGTTAAAGCAGCTTCTTGAAATTGAATGTTGTTAGATAGAAGAAGGGTGAGGCATTGTTTTCAATAATAATAGAAGATGTAACTATTAGAATAATGAAGAATAATTAATGAAGGACATTTCATTCGCAAAACTTTTTATTTTATTTGTTGTTTATTTTTTTTTTTTTTTATTTTATTTTTTTTTCATTTACTCTTTACTTCTGGACACGGCCTTTTTCATTATTATTTTCACTCGAAAAGTTCGCACTATTCAATGCTTTTGGGTAATCGAAATATTTGCGTTTTTTATGTTCTCTAACGGAGGATACTCTTTTGTATGTAATGTAATTAATTTTTTCCTTTTCATCTATATTATTTTTTTTTCTTCCTTTCATTCATTTTACAATGCATTTGCGGATCTCATATTCACTTCATTTCTCATTCTGTGCTATAGTAAATACATGTAATTTTTAATGGGGTGAAAATTTATATACATACCTTTTTAAGAGGGTATATTGATCAAAATAAGCTATTTCAGCAAAAGAAATAATAATTATTAAGTTAATTTTTTTTTTGCACAAATTTCTCTATAAACTTAGTTTTAATTCTTATTTACAAAAAATTAGTTTAGTTTAGTTTTCCTTAAAAATTTCTTTAATTAGAAATTGAAATAACTTTCATTTATTATTATTATTATTTTTTTTTCAAATTGAATGTAAGAAATTAACCATCCTTTCATATAATTCGTCTTTCTTTCTTTCTCTGAAAAAAAAAAATTCTTAAATTCTTGTAAATTTTTTCAAACATCAAAAAAAAAAGTCAAGCAATCTTATTTTTTTTTTCGATTTTGTTAATTTGTAGAAATTATAAAATCGAAAAAACTATCACATTCCTTTTTAATTTTATAGTTACTCATTTTCCCTTATCCTTTTGAAATATTACCATTATTTCCGTTAAACAATTTTATTATTTTTTATTTAAATAAAAAAATCTCCACAAGCTGTCCCGTATATATTCAAAGATCCAAAGATTTTCATTTTATTTTATTTTATTTTAAAATAAATGGCAATTACTAAAGGGTAATTATAGGCATCTCTGGCCAGATATATATCTCTGGTATTTTAGCCAATAAAAATGTATTTTGGTCACGTTATTAGTTTCCGTGACAGTTCGTCGTTCCTAACCTTGCACGTGATCACATGATTTCGGCCGGACACAATCGCGGTAACGCATAAACAAAATCTTTCCATAAATAGTGCAAACAAAAAAAAAAATTCTCACAGGTGTTTGTTTCTTTTTTTAAAAGTTTCAAGTGTTTTTTTTATTTGTAGAAAAGTGTCATTCCAGTTAATTTTCATATGTAAGTATCTTTATTTAATGAAAAATTATATACTTTTAAGTTTTTTCATTTAGAAGTAAAAAGCTAACACCTTTTTTAACGTGTCAATAGAAATTGCATTCTGTTTGGTTCTTGGTGAGCCAGTCATTCACAAAACATCTTCCAGTTAATAAATTTAATATTTTTAAAGAGTGACATCCCATTAGAATTCATTTGACAAAAGAAATTAAAGAACTATAATATCTTTTGTTACCTTTTGTTGATAATTGAAAATGTTGATTTAATAATGACTAATATTATACTACAAAAAACAATAATAATAAATAGTAAATTTAATATAATTGATAATTTGTATATGATTCTCTGATAAATACATGGGTTAAATATTTTTTAATATTTTAAAGTTTCTTCAAATCAAAAATTATCTATAATAAAGATCATGAATATGATAAAAAACCTGGAGACTCTTTGAAACCTGAAGACCAATTAGAACTCAAAAATTCTGGAGACTTGTTGAAATCTGAAAATTCTAAAGACTTATTAGAACCTAATGATTTATTGAAGTCTGAAAACCTATTGGAACTTGAAAATTTCATAAAACTTGAAGACCCACTTTTTCAACTTGGCCATGCTTACTAGCTTTCAAATTATACTTGCATGCAAAATTATGTTGAAGCCCTGAAATTGCAATTTTGAAAAAAAAAATCAAAATAGTTTTTCATAGAAGACAAAATTATTTTACTTAATACTTGAAATTTTTTGATCATCCAGATTTATTTTTTAACTGAATATACATATAATTGGATACTTTTTTTACTTCTATATATAGAATAAATTCTGCATAAATCTCAAAAAGTCAAAATACCTCAAAAATTCAAAATCAATTTTGAAAACATAATATCACAGATTTAGTTATTATTTGTAATAAAGTACAAACCAGCTGTGAAGAAATAGATGATTTAATATGTATATAACTTTATTAGTAATAATTGCATTTCATGTATTGGATTCCAGATATATGACTTCTTTTTCTTTTTCTAGTAAAAATATAGTAACGATCCTGAATTTTCTTTTAAATTCGAGTTGAATTATGATAATTACTTGAAATATGTCATTTGGTTATATGTATTATAGAAATGGCAATATATGTATTATCATAATATGATTGTATATGACAACATATACAAGTGTAATTATTTTTTGATACCTTTTGAAGTGTTTATGGGTATTACTAATAATGGTCATTCTTATTGTATTGCTAGTATATTACTTCAGAATAAAACTTGTTTAAGTCTTGAATAACTTTTTGAGTCTTTCATTTGTATTTTTGTTACTATACCACAAACCATTTTTACAGACAATGACCTTCCAATAGCTGATACCATTTGTTTCATTCTGATTGATAAGCATAGCACTAAGCATAGCTTTTGTATATAATATATGCTTAAGAATATCAAATCTAATATGATTTTTAGACTTGGATTAAAGTATTCAAAGTTTTATATAATTTTGTTAAGTGCTATCACAGGTGTTATTGATAATATCTAGTCAATAGTTCTTTTAAGGAGATTATACTATTTTAACTACTGAGTCACAAAATACTATTTGTTAATAACCATAAATGATATAATACTAATAATATTAATATAATAACTAAAAATATTAAATATAAATAATTAATAATAATAAATGTTAAGTAATACTAATTGATATTGTTTGTTTTACATGTGATTAAATTAATATGTTTAAATATTAATAATAAGTTAAATAATTGTTTATCTTCTGTTATAATGTATTAATACTACTAATATATTAAAGTTTTTGATTGATAATTATAATATTATATTTTATACCATAACAGTATCTTAATTATTATATCAATAAATATGAGTTTAAAGAGCAATGAAATAGAATAATGGTAAATAATAAATATGTTGAAGCAAGATTATATTTGGATGTCCTTAACAAGTGGTATGAATGGTAAGCTCCAATATATCTCAAAGACTATTTCTTCGCTAATATGTCATCAACATAAAGGAGAAAATCAATGAACAAATTATTAAAAGATTTCTTTAATAATAAATTCACACTTATAAAGTTTTTAGTAGCATTTGAATAAGTATTTGATACTTGTAAGGAGACCAAGCAGATTTTAGTATACAAGAAACTTGTTTACTTCACCTGTTTAACTTTACAAAATTCTATCAAAAATCAAACTGCTAATTGTCTAATACAGTATGCATGGAAGAAATTTGTAACTGAATAGAAGCATTGTTACAGAATGAAAATATCATGATTAGTACAATACTAAAAACATCTACAATAATTAATAATAACTTTTTAAAATAATATTTAAAATTTAATTAGTAAATATTAATTCAGGTAACAAAGAGCAACACTTTAATAATTTTTTAGCTAATATTTATAGTCTATAACACACATTAATTAATCGCGGAATAGTAGTACAAGATCACGTGTTCACGTGATATTCAGTTACACAAACATAGAAATCAATTCATAACATTAATTATCATTACATAACATTATTTAATAATAATTAAAACATATAGTATTAATTAGTATTAGATATATTTAGTAAATAATATAAAAGAATAATAATCAATAGTAGTAGTGCAAAGTAAGGCACAGTAGACACAGTAATAGTACAGTAATGAAGATCATTAGATTTAGATATAAAAAAGGGACTAAAATTATCTTGCCCTTCTTTAATTTACAATTTTATAATTTTGAATTTTGATAATTTGTAACTTATTTGAAATTGATAAATTTAATTTTATAAT